TCAATGCCCAACTTTTGACCACGCATAAACCAGACGTGTGAGAACACAAGAGAAGTCAACAAATTACCAGTGAAATCAACTTTCTTTCCTGACCACAATGGAATGAAATTAGGAATCAATAAGAGGAGGAAAATTGGATCCCAAATATGCAGAAATAAAACAACACACTCTTGAACATCCAGGGGGTCAAAGGGAAATCACAAAGATATCAGAGACAGGTGAAAAGGAAACAGCACCAAAACTAATGAGAGGAGCAAAACACTTCTAAGAGGGGAGCTCAGTGAGCCCAACACCTGCATTTAAAGAGGAGGAATCTCAAATGAAGTGATAAAGACCTGATCTCCACGTAAGGTCACAGGGATCAGGACCTCAGCATGAATGTGATGTGAAGACTCCTGCAAGGATCTTACAGGAACAAGTAGAAAAGGAAGAGCAAGGTAGGCCCAAAGTTGCAGAAGGAATAGAGATCAGAGCAGGAATAAATGAAATATAGACTAAGGAGACAAGTGAAAACATCAGTGAAACAGAATTGGTTCTTTTTTCTTTCCAATTATTTTCATTTTTTATTTTTATTAGTCCATGTTTGCAGTACATGTTTACATTCCTTGTATGGAGTTGGCATCTTAGTAACTCCATAACACGTCTTAATTCATTTTTCATTCCCTTTTCCTCCCCTCCCCCCTCCCTCTCTCCATCTCTTGGACCCATTCCCCTTTGTGAAAAATCTATCTCCCTATTTCTTATATCTGCCTTTTATTTTGCTCTTTATATTTTGGGTCTCTCATATAAGAGAAACCATGTGACATTTAAATTTGCATGTGTGATTTATTTCACTTAACATTATGGTCTCAAGGTGCATCCCTTTCCCTACAAATGACTCGACTTTATCTTTCTTCATGGCAGAGTAGTACTCCATTGTGTGTAGATGCCACATTTTCTTTGCTTATTCATTTATTGATGGACATGTAAGCTGCATCCAAGATTTAGCTATTATGAATTCTGCTGCTATAAACATGAGTATGCATGTATCACTGCAATATGATGTCTTTAACTCTTTCAGGAAGATACCTAGAAAAGAACCAGGTGCAGTGCCACATGCCTGTAATCCCAGCACCAGAAGGCTGAGGCAGGAGGATCACTGCAAGTTCAAGGCCAGTCTGGGATACACAGGAAGTTCAAGGCCATCCTGAACTATATAGCGAGACCCTGTCTCAAAAAAACCAAAAAACAAAATGACAAAAAGATACCTAGAATGGAAATAGCTGGATCAAATGGAATTTCTAGTTTCAGTTTTCTGAGGAATCTTCGTACTGATTTCCATAGTGATTGTACTAGTTTACATTCTCACCAAGAATTGGTTCTAAAAAGATAAAATCAACAAAACTTTAGCAAGACCAAGAAGAGAAGACTCAACAAACTAAAATCAGAAGTGAAAGAGGAAACATTAGAACTGACACCACAGAAAGACAAAGTATTATAAAACATTACTACGAATGATTCTATGTCAACAAATTAAACAAACTAAAAGAAAAGGATAAATTCCCAAAACAGACGAACTACCAAGAGTGGATCATGAAGAGACAGAAAACTTGAATGGCCAATACTGAGGAATAAAATTTTCCAAGAAGGTAAAGATTCACATAACAAAAAGGATAATACATTATGAAGGAAATGGAAGATGACAAAGTAAGTGGAACCTACCCTGTGTTTGTGTATTGAAAGAATTGTTAAATTCCCTGAGCTGGCCTCAAACTTGTGATCCTCCTGCCTCAGCTTACCAGAGTGCTGGGATTACAGGTGTGCACCACCATGCCTGGCTGAAAGTGGCATCTTGAGATGGAATCCCTGCCTGGTAAAGGAGCAACAACAGGATCTGGAATATTACCTAAACTCAGCTGACAGAGCTGTGGCAGTCACCAGAGTGATTCCAGTTTTGAAAGAAAATGCGATCACACAGCATAGCTTGCCACGGAGGAGTCTCTCATGAAAGGAAGAGTGGCCCACCACAGGAACAACACTGCTGTGTCACCTTCAGAGATGGCCACACCCACCGTATGGCTCAGCAGCTGCCTGCATGGACACAGGACCCCACTCCAGCCAAAGACCACAACTGCATGGAGCTTGTGCCACTGGCAGCATAATAAAGTGTTTTGTTTTATTGTTGAGTTCAGGCTGCAGTTCAGCCTATCTTGAACTCACTATGTAATCCAGGGTGGCCTTGAACTCACGGGATCCTCTTACCTCAGCTTCTTAAGTGCTGGAATCATAAAGTGTTTTTAAACCACACTACATGTATTGGTTTTCAGGTACAACACCTGTACACACTTAGTGGACTGCAGTACCATGCAACCATGATTTTGAATGCACTGGGAAACCAGAACAGTTGTGTGCTCCCTTTTCTTTAGCCAACTGGGCTTTGAACCCAGGGTCTTGCACTGAGCTACAGCCCCAGGCCTTAAAAATTTATTTTTTTTTTTTGTATTTTGAGATAGGATCTCACTAAGTTGCCGTGGCAGGACTTAAGCTCAAGATCCTCCTGCCTCAGCCTTCCAAGTGCTTGGATTATAGGTGCATGCCTCCATGACTGGTTTCCCTTCTCTTGTTCTTGACATAGTCCTGGGTGCAGAGCAGCAGGTCCTGCACCCTCTTGGTCCCATGGCTGCAACGTCAGGGCAGGGAAAGATGCACACATGGGGAGTGAGCTTGGCTGTCTGAGGCCCATTCGGATGCCCAGGTGGAAATGTGTCTATTATAGGGGATCGTCTGGGGATGGGTCAGTCCCAACAGTCTCAGCTGGCTCTAGCAGAGAAGGTCTTCAGGGTGTCCTCAGCGTCCCTCTGTTAGCTTTTTATTTCTGAATTTCTCCACCATGAAGTGGGAATCTCAGCCTCACACCCAAGCCCATGCCAGGCAGAGGGGTCCTCATGGGCCACCTGGGCAGAGCGTGCTGGTGTCGATACAGAGGCATGTGGAGCCCAGCAAGGCAGGCCCAGGGAAGCAGACCCTAGCCCCAGACCAGGCCTCTCCCCATGCCTGGTTCCATCTTCCAGTGTGGCCCGGAGGGTGACCTGGGCTGGGCCTTCCAGGGACCAGGGCCTGGAGTTGAGGGACACAGGCCCTTCTGGCTTCCCCGGCTTTCCATGTGACCTTTGATGGTCAACAACCTGTCCCTCTGTCTGCTCCTTCCGCCCTTGCTGAGGACGCTGGCACCCGTGCCTCTGTCCTCCACATGCAGCCATCGCCCTTCTGTTCAGTCTATGGTCCTGGTCCCAATCGTGCAGGTGCTGGGCATCTGGCCTCAGCGCTGGCCACGGTCCTGGAGGCCACAGCCACCTTTCTCCTGGGACCACCAGAGGGCGCCCGGCCTCCATGCAGGACAGCAGGTGCCTAGTCTTTCCTCCTGGCTCCAGGACCTCGGGAAATCCTGGAGTGGAGAGGAGGGGAGGGGAGGCAGGGAAAGGAGAGCACCCAACATGGGTTCTTCACCCACAGCGCTCACTCTGTGCCACCAGGGTCTTCTATGCTGGGGGATGTGGGGAGCAGGGAGTGCTCAGATCTGTGGGAGGACTGCAGCGAGGAAGCCCAGCTCTAGGACAGAAAGGGAACTGGCCTATGAGCCTTGGGAGCTGACCCTTGGGGTGGCCTGCTCACAGGAGGCACAGCAGGCCTGGAAGGGAGGCGGCAGGCAGCTGGGCAGGTCCTGATTTGGAAGGGGCTTGGAAGCTGGGCTTCCTCTGACTGCCAGCAGTGGACACCATGAAGGCACAGGTGGCATTTGCTTGTCTTCAGGTTCCCTGGCTCAGATGCAGCCCATAAGTGCCCACTGCTTCTGCAGCTGCTGGTGACAGGTTCCAGGCATCAAGGGCTGAATGCAAGCAGTTTCCTAGGCTCCCTGTCCTCTGCTCCATGGTCTTTCTATCACAGCCCCTCTCCTCTGCTGGCTCCTCCTGCCTGTCAGCCTTGCCCTTGGGTGGACTGGGTCTGGGGACAACCTTCATCTGGGATCCAGCTGACCAGGCCAGTAGGGAGGACAGGCACAGGGCAGGGCTGGGACTTGAGGGCCCCCTGGGGTGCCGGTGCTCTGGGCTGTAGGCTTTGGGTGGCTGAGAGTTCTGAGGGTGCCCAGACAGGAGTGGCTGCTGTCCTGTTTCCCAGGAAGTCACCTAGGCCTGTGTGGCTCAGGACTCCATCCAGAAAGCAGGTCCTGGGGAGAGCAGTGTGTCCTTCAATTTCTGTCCCTCTCTTGTTTGTCTTCAGATTTTCGATTTCTCCTTTCTCTTATTTAAACAGTTTTCCCTTCTGGAAACACAACATGATTTCCAAGAACCACAGAGAGCTGTGGCAACATCTCTTCCATGCTGGTTTCCTGCCTCTTTGAACAGGTCTCATGTCTGTGTACACCCTAAATTGGGAACTGCATTTACATAGTTTTTTCCTTAACTTGAGAAAACCAGCCTCAGCCAAAAAAGAAAAGTTCCCTCCGCATGCAGACTTCCCTATGGCTCACTTTGGGACGTTTTTCTCAGGAAGCAGAAGGAAAGCTGCATGGCTGCCTTGGGCTATTCTTGAGTCCCCATGCCTGTGTTGGGGTCCTCAGGCCCAGGTGCTCTTTCCTGTCCACACTTAGGCCTGCCTGGGCTGAGCTCGGCACCTGGCCCCTCACAGAGAGACCTGGAGTGGACAGGGGCTGTGCCCAGTGCTCCCAAGCCCAGCACCCAAAGCCAAGCCTAGTTTCAATGCAAGAGCCCCAGCAGGACTTGGTAAGGCTCTGTGGAGCGCCAGACGGGGACACCTGGGCTTGGCAGGCTGCATGAGCTCAGCCCTGAAGCAGGGGCCAGGCTGCCTGGATGTGTAGGCAAATGTATGCTGTGCTTTACTGAGAGACGTGACATTCCAGTTTCATATAGTATTTATGGGTCAGGAGACAGTATCCTTTTTTAGATTGTTTCAAATATTTTAAAATATTTAAAAAGCAGTCTCGGCTTAAGGGCTGTGTGAAAGTAGAACTCAGAGCCTCTGTCCTCTGTCCCAGAATGCATGTCCAGTGCCGCTCCCGGGAAGGCTAACATGCAGGACGTGTTTTGTGATGGTCACTTCCCTGGGCATCTGTAGGAAGGGACAGACTTGATGCCTGGCCTGTGTCCTTACAGAGCCCTGAGCACCGGCTCACAATGCCACCTTCGCTCTCTAGTAGGCACTTTGCTGCTTTCTCCCCAAATCCTTCAACTGACCAGGATTCTTTGCATGTCTGCCGATATTCCTCACATGGGTGTGATGCTGACAGCACAAGGACTCGGTCAGGGCAGGATGGCGGTGTCAGCCCAGCAGGAACAGGCATCACGTGCCAGGCTGCACCAGGAGAAATTCCCACAGCGACCCAACTCACCCATTGAGAGCGGCTGCCTGCTGCTCAATGGGACTTTTCTTTCACTTTGTCTGAACAGCCTCGTGGAAGAAAACGAGAAGAGCAGATGACGGTGTGGGATAGGAATTCAGCCACATAACAGACATTGCAGAAAGTCTCTGTAATTTCTTTAATGACCCAAACAATAGAGCACGACGATGCCAATTTCAAGTACATTTTGAAGCATATTTTTGACAAGGACTGATACGCATTTGGTCCTAAGGGCCAGGCAGCAAACTGCACAAACTCCAGGTACCACAGTCTCGAGAGACTGGCGCTCCGCACAGGCAGAGGGGCTGCACCTTCTTCTGGTCAGCATGGGGCTTCTCTATGTATACAGTGGCTTCCTTTCCTCACCTGTCTTATTGTTTCTCTGTGAAAAGGTTTTCTTTTCTTGCTTTTGTTTTTGAGACAGGGTCTTACTATGTGGTCCAGGCCTGGCCTCAAACTCACACTGATCCTCTTGCCTCAGCCTCCCAAGTGCTGAGATTACAGGTGTGTGCCACCACACCTGGCTTTCTGTGGAAGGATCTCTAAGATGGACAGATAGGGCTGGAGAAGCCAACCGCAGGGGACTGCCAGAGCCCCATACTCTACGTGGTACCCTCGTTGCCAGGCCTCCTATAGAGCTGTCCCAGCGCCGAGTCCGAGTCCCCCCTCTGGCAGACAGGGGTGCACCCCTTATAACTCATCAGATCACTGAGCAGAGCCCACGTGCCCACTGCTCATTTCCTGCTGACCACAGAGACTTGAACAGGCAGAATGGCAGAAGCCATCAGCCTCAGTGGGGACTATGAAAGCCAGCTGTGACATTACTCACCCCTGGATAACCGAGGAAAAGTCTGTGGAGAAAACCAGGCCCACTGCTGCCCAGAAGGCTGGCCCTGACCCCAGCACCCAGGGCCATCCATGTGGACATGGCCATTCAGCACCAAAGCCTTTGGGGACCCGGTCTCTGGCTGCTGACTTCCACAGGCCTCCCCTTGGAGCCAGACCCTGCCACAGGGCCTGAGGCTCATCAAGTCTTCTTCCTGACACTGAGTCACCCCACCCCCGCCCCCCACACAGGCATATTCGGCTGGCAGTCTCCACCCTTCCAAGTCCGGCCACTCAGGTGCCTCTGCTGTGACAACAGGCTCCAACAAGCCACAGAACCGGAAATGACTGCAGCCGAGAGGAGAGATTTCTGGCAAGCTGAGAGGCAGCATTAAGCTCAGAGGGAGCATCCCCAGCCCCAGCTGACACTGGGCATGAACTGTTTCCCAGGAATACAACTCCAGGCCTAGCACCCACTACAGACAACAGGTATGGTCCCAGACCCTGGCAGCAGCCCCCCCCCCCCCGCCCCCACCCCCGAGACCAGGCAGAGACCAGGCAGACGGTGCTCAGCCCAGAGGTGGGAGGTTCAGACATTAGCACCTCTCTGCCAAGGTCACACTGAGACTTCAGAAGACAGCTGTGGCCTACAGATCAAACACCAGAAGACCAGGGAAAGGCACAAAGTCGCCTGGCAGTCACTGCAAGAAGGTTCCCCTCAGGCCACCTTCTCCAGGCCTGCAAACTGGGCTCTGCTAGCTGAGGGTTGGAGCTGGGAAAGCTGGGCTCCCACATAGGGCACCCCCAACCTCTGGGAGCACAAAAGAGCTTTACATAGTAATTAGGACCAGAGCTGCCGGTTCTCCAGCGAGGAGGACTGGCCACTTGGCCTACTTTGGCTGTCCATGCTGTGTCCACCTGACAGATCCTGGGGGCACTGTGCTCCCCCAAAAGAAGCCCAAAGGAACAGAAGAGGGGCGGCAACAGGATTTCTGAGTTATTACATACTAACGGGTCTGTGCGTGGCACATTTTATTTCTATAAAACTATTACAAAATATTCAAAAATACATTTTAGTAAATTTACAGCAGTTATGTCTCAATTTATTAATGCAAAACATCCTTTTTCTCTGTACAAACTACAGGCTCCATCCTCATGGGCTCATCACTATGTGCGCTTTTAAAAAATATTATTTTCTAATAAACTCTTTGAAGTTAAAAATAACAGAGTTCTTCCAGTTTGTAAAAAAAAAAAAAAAGTGTACGTGTGAGTGTGTAACAGTCTTGGCTTCGAAGAATGTGGCCAAAATAAAGATGATGAAAGCAAGTATTAAACCATGAAGACAGTGCAGGAGATGGCTGTTAACATCGGAAACTAGTTAAATTAAAATAATATATTTCATATTTTACACTATTTCAAAAAATGAAATGTCATTCAGTTAAGTATTGATCTCTCAAAAAATCTAATTTACAATTCTGTGTATAAAAATATAATTTGTGGACCCCCATGAAGCATGTTTTAGTTTACACTTTCAGAGAAGCAGGAGCGTAGCAGAGGAGAACTGGCGAGCACAGAATTCTGTTTCCCGACTCTCAGGACCAGGAACTTGTAGAAAAATAGACTTTGAGCAGGTCACTTGGCCGCACAAAATAATCTCTCCCCCCGTGAATACAGTTCACATGATAATAATAAATTATCCAAGACACAAACTAGTTAAGGCTCTTGAAGGTCCGGTTCATATTATTTTAAAACATCTATTCATACCAAACAAATAAATAGCCAGGAGAGGAGAAAAAATAACCAAAAATTCAAAAAATATATATATATATAAACTAAACACAACAACAAAACTCCCGGGGTCTTTGCTTCCTTATAGTCTACTTTGGACTGTCCTACATTATTATTATTATTAATTATTATTATTATTATTATAATGAATGTCTCGTTCCGTGCGCTTTTCTGTGTCTTGCTCCACCTGGCCGTGGCTCTCGAATCCACCCGCGCTGCTCCTGGCCTCGGCTTCAGCTGGACGCCACTGCCATGCCCAGGGGGTGCAGGGTCTCGCCATCCAGCAGCCAGGTGCCGATCCGGTAGAGCAGCCGCGAGTACCAGTGGACACCCTCGGCCGCCCCGGGCACGGGCTGGGGTACGCGGCCGCCGCCCCCGCCCCCGCCCCCGCCGTCGCCGCGGTCCGTGCGCGCCGGGCTCAGTGCGGCCAGCAGCGCGTGCGCCAGGCGGAAGGGCGCGAAGGCGCGGTGTGCCCAGCTGTGCTCCTCGATGACAGCATAGCAAGAGGCAAGCACCCGGTTGATGAGGATGGTGCCCTGCGCAGTGAGCGGCGCGTAGGCGCCCGCCGCCTCCTCGCGCAGCGTCACGCTGTGAACGGCGGCCGGCAGCAGCCTGCGGTCCCCGTCGCGCTCGGCCACCACGTACACGCGCTGGCCCGGGCGCACGCGGCTGGCGAAGAGCGCGCGGCGCCCCAGAGCGCCCCCCGCGGCGGCCTCGAGCTCCCCGGTGGCCGAGTTGTTTTGTGGCGGCGCCAGGAAGAGCAGGTGCGCGGCAGTGAGCAGCAGGCGCTCGCGCGGCTCCTGGGTCTCGATCACGTAGAAGACCTTCTTGGCCCCATCGTCGCGGTCCAGGAAGGTGAGGAAGTCGCTGTAGAGCAGCCGGCCCTGGTCATCGGCCGCTAGCACGCGGTCCCCGGGCCGCAGGTCCTTCACCAGCTTGGTGCCGCCCTGCTCCAGGTGCACGGTGGCCGACCCAGGGAAGCAGCCGCCCGACTTGGCCGCCACTGAGTTCTCTGAGGGCGAGGAAGAGGGTACAAGCGTTGAGCAAAGAGGGAGGCCAAGGGTTCGCGCGGACCCCGCCCCTCACCCCACCGCCCCCCCCCCCCACCGCTGCGGTGGCCAAAGTGTGGCGCAGGCACCTTCCTGAGCACCCTAGAGGGGACCGGCGGTGGCACCGACAGGCCTCCGTCTCCGGGAGGGGCCACGCTGCGCACCGCGCTTCCGCCTACCTGCAGCCCATCCCCCGCTCGGCACACACTCAACCTCGAGGAGCTGAGAATATTTGCTCTCTACTCGGGTGGGTCTCGGGAAGTCTCGGCTCCCCAGGCGCCGGCGCACCCCCTCCCCACCCGCCCCAGGCCAGGGCGCGGCGCCTTGGGGTGTGCTGGGCACGGAGGCTGCGCGGTGGCAAGGGCCCCCCATCCCACCCGGCCTGGGCCCTGGTGTTGGCCGGTGGGGGGCGGGGGCACAAAATAGCTGTAGTAGTTGTAGCAACTGGACAAACATTCCAGGGAATTGCCCGAGGTGTGAAAATCCGAGGCTTGTGTGGATTTTCTAATTAAAATCCAATAAAGGGCCCAGTATTGCCATTGTGATTTCTGGAATAAATAGAAGACACTCTAGGAAGAGGGGACACTTCCACGTCGCCCCTCCCTTTCTTCCTCAGCTCCCCTCTTTGCAGCTCGCGGCCGCCCCCTCCCTATTTGCTCAGGTGCAACCCCGCCCCCCCGCCGTGTGCAATTCACACATGGTCTCTCCGGGCCTGGGCCCCACAGGCACTATTTGCACAGCCAGGCCTCTCCTGCGAGCACTCGAGATGTGTATTTGAATTTTAAATGGCCCGGCCTGCTCGGAGCGCTGCGAGCACCAGTTCTCAAGGCCCCTTGACTACCGCTCTCGGCCCTCTGTCGCTCTCCGAAGCTCACTGTCCCGGTGACAATAATTGAGGTTGGGGCGGAGCGCGGGGGGCCACGAGGGGCGGGAGGTCCCCGTCTTCTTTGCATTCCAATCTCCGGGATCATGGGTTTTGCAAATAGAGATTGCGAGAAAGGATCTTCCTTCTGGAATTACAGAAGGTTTTTAATCTGCTCATTGGTTTCTTCGGCATGAAGTGCGGGGCCGGCAGTGGGAGGCCCTCCGGAGCTCCCCGGAATGCGACCCCGGGCGCTGGAGAGCCCGAGTCGTCGAGTCGCACGACCCCGCTTGACACGCAGCTTGCCGCACCCCCGCCCGCGTGCGCAGAATGCGAATGAGCGACTCGGCGCCGCGTTCGCGCCCGGAACCTGGCGGCAGGATTACCGCTGCTCATTTCGGAGGAGAGCTCCAGGGACCCCCGCCAGGGGGACCCCGCGGGCAGGGGCGGCGAGGAGGAGGCCCAGAGGGAAGGGCGCGCCTGGGGCTTCGGTGGAGTGGGTCGGGTGGGGGCTTCCGCTGCCCCATTTCCCACCCAGAATACAGCAGGAGGGGTCCCTCAAGGTGACCACGCTGCTGCCCTGGTCTGAGCCCAGACCTTCCCTGGGCTGTAACCACCGCCCTCCCCCGCCCTGTTGCATTTTCTTTACCTAGGAAGTGTGCCCCGACACTTTGAAAGTGTTGTTCCACTGACATTTGCCTTTAAAATAGTTTAGGAAAGGGGGGGGGCGAGGCAGGAGGCAGAGTTCCTCGGAAATTCACTATGAACCGCCTAGCTAAATGCGACAGCTTGTGCTGAGATGCGAGGTGTGCACACCGCCCAGGGACCACGTGTGACAATGCCAGCTCCTGTCTCAGCTGTTCCTCCTGGCAACAGCGTGTGGCGCCACAGGCCGGGGGAAGCGGACGCTGCAGCTGCAGCCCAGGGAGGGGGCGCCTTCGCTACTGCCGCGGGCCCAGGGCACCCAGCCGCTCCTAATAAGAATGGATACTGCTGGGCCTGCGGCTCCAGATGCTTCAAGGTAACTACCCGGTTTATGACTCCCACCAGGGCCCTTCCCAGAGGCTTAGCCAGTGAGTTGCTTTTAGTCTCCACAGGTGGCCAGCAGGGAAGAGTGCTGCTTTGTGAACCCCCACAGACCCTCCTGACTTGGGGGGTGTGGCCTTGGGCCTTTAAGCCTTAGAGGAAGAGATCTGGTGACACCTGCAGAGTCGCCAAGAAACCCCCAGTCTCCTTCCCACAGCCACTGGCTCCCCCTGTCTCCAACTCAGAAAGCTGCAGGCTCCCTGCATCTGGGCACAGGGGGGACCTGGGGCCATCATGGCCTCAAAAGTTGGGGTGATTCCTGGCTTAGGGGGCTTAGAGGTCCCGCAGCGGAACCCCAGGCACCACCTGGCCCTTCTCTCTTTCCCTCAAATCAGACCAGCAGGCACAAAGATGACTTTAAGGCCTTTTTGGGGAGCAAATCTGGAGTAAGGGGTGCAGGTGGGTAGGGCAGGGCATTCTGAGAAAGGTGGAAGGGAGGGGCTCACCTGCTTTCACTGAGCAGTGGATGTGAGCCTTGGACTCATAGTAGACCCAGTCGAAGCCGGCCTCCACAGCCAGGCGGGCCAGCATGCCGTACTTGCTTCGGTCACGGTCAGAGGTGGTGATGTCCACGGCTCGGCCCTCATAGTGCAGCGACTCCTCCGAGTGGTGCCCATCCTCGTCCCAGCCCTCGGTCACCCGCAGCTTCACTCCAGGCCACTGGTTCATCACCGAGATGGCCAGGGCATTTAACTTGTCCTTACACCTCTGTGGAGAAGCAACCCAATAACAGATACATTAGCTTGAGGTCCTAGTGCCATCCCAGCCCCTCTTCAGCCAGCTGCCTAGCCTGGGGGAGGGCGTGCAGAGTAGTAGGGAGACTAGAGAGGGCACTAAATGAACATTAGGTGGGAAGAGGGTACGGTATCTGCAGGAGGAGTCCTCTTGGAGCCAGTGGCAAAGAAACTCACATGGCCAGAGTTTCTCCAGACCAGGTGAGCTGCGCATTTCAGACACCAGGCCGAGAATCCTCCGGGGGCCCTATCAGCCACTCTGTACCCTTCCCCTCCCTGCCCCCTTTCTGCACACCTGTGTGAGGTCCCCCTTCTCCTATGTCCCAGGTGCGTGCAGCTGGAAGAGATGGGGAACAGTAGCCATGCATGTAGGAGCCAGAAGCCCTGCCCGCCCCCCATCTTTGGTGAGAATGAAGCCAAAGGTGAGGACTTGGGTGGCAGCGCCTGCTTGGGGTGGAGTCCGCCAAGTGCAAGGCCAGCTGGTGAGTGGGATGCCCGCCACAGGCAGGGCGGGAGGACAAACATTGTTGGTCTGGGCAGCCACATTCCTTCCCTCCCTGCGAACTCCTCTCTGCCAGGCCTGCCTGTGGCCTGATTGTGCTCTTGTTTTCTTTAACCTGTTCTCTTCCTCCCCTCTTGTTTTCTTGGCCCCGGGTGCAGAATGGTGTCCGGCAAGTTTGGAGAACAAATGTAAGGGAGGGGGTGGCAGGAAGGAGGTGGGGGTGGGTGGGAAGCTTTTCTAGGCCTGAGGCCTCCAAACCCTGGCCTGGGGAGTCTCCCCTCAGAGGCTTCTGCCGATGCCCAGGCTGGATGGGATCTGGGGACGTGGGGGTCCCTCTGTAATTCTTAGGCCACATTCAGAAAAGGATTCAGTAATGGTGGCCGAGTCAGGTGTGCATGTCTAGGGCAGTATTAACTCACTACACAGATGTTTATGCTGCTGCGGGTGTGGTTCAGGATTGGGAAGGGGAGCCAGGGACAAAATAAGAGGGCTCATCTGGGGAAGGGGATCTCAGAGGAGGTGGGAGAAGCAATTTCAAGTTGATTTCTGCAGAGGGTAGGGCCATCTCTAACCTTCTGCAGCCCCAGGCGATGTGATAGGCTTCTTGGAGGGGGTTAGGAGGGGAAAGACTGCCTCTATCAAGGGCCCTAATTACAGCAGGGGAGCTCTCTGGCAAAGGGCGAGGCTCTTGCAAAGACTGCTGCCTGCATTTTCAGGGGACTGACAGATTGCGCAACAGGAAAAGTTCTGTGTATTTGGCAGCAATAAAAACCAGTAATATGGTTGTAGAGTTAAACATACAAGAAATGGGGGGAGGGCAGGGGCTGGGGGCGGCCCTGGTAACAGGTCAGTGCTTGCAGGTCTCTGGGTCTGCCTGTAGTTTTCTGAAGGAAAGAAGGAAAGAAGGAAAGAAAGAAAGAAGGAAGGAAGGAAGGAAGGAAGAAAGGAGAAAGAAAGAAAGAAAAGAAAGAAAGAAAGAAAGAAAGAAAGTCGGAAGGGGAGGTTTTGAATGAGGTCATCTTGAAGATTGAACACGTTTTACATGAAAATCAATCAGTAAACCAGGGTCCATTTGGAGCCTGGGTTTAAAGCCCGTGGGCCCAGGAGCACACGAGGGTACAGACCACAGCCCCCATTCCAGCCCCACCCCACTCTGCTCCCTTCTCCCAGGAGGCGGAGCAGATGAGGCTTTGAACTGCAGCCCCCTGGACAGCTAGGAGAGGAAAGGCAGAGGCAGGGTGGAAAGGACTCGGCTCCCTGCATCCTGAGCTAGACTACTTGGGCAGACCTGGGGGACCCCAAGTCAGGAGCCCCAAGGCTGAGACAGGCTGAGCAACCCGTACAGGCCGTGGCCTAGGGTCCTCGAGGGGGCCCGCGAGCCCACACACCCTCCTGGCCCCGGGTCCCCGGCCTGGCTGGTGGCAGCAGGACGCGCCCCCGCCCTGGCCAGGCGGGATGGGCAAAGCCCGGGAAGCCAAGCCGGTTATTAATTCATCGGGTCGTGTGCCGCGAATCATGCCTGGACCCTGTGCAGTCACCGTGAAGCCCAGCAGGGCCGCCGGCCCGGCTTTATGTCTGCAAAGGCCAAATTGTTCCTCAGGCCGGCGCTCCCGCCCACCGTCCGCGTCTACATCGCGCACCCCTCAGAGGGAGGCCAGGGGCTTCCCCTGGCGCCAGAGACGTTCAACAGAGACCCGGTCCCTGGGCACACCTCTTCCCACTCGCCTTCCCCGGCTCGGGAGCACCCCTGTCCTCTAGGTGGAGGACCCTCCCCAGAGCGCGCAGGACACCTAGGCAGCGCAGCGTCGCAGGTGGTCCCCTTCCAGCCCCCGCACCTCCAGGCCCCGGCCCTGTGGCTCCAGCCCCGCTGCCGCCTGCACCCTCTCCTGGCACGGCGGCCTGCACGCGGAGAGCGAGTCAGTCTGCGATTCCCTCTCCGGAGTTAATATTAACCAGCAGCTCATGCGTTCCAGAACTGCGCTGAAAGTTCCACTGGGGACGATCTTGCCATGGTTGAGGGAGTCGGGCAGCAGTCACGTTAGAGAGACAGACGGGGAGGGAGGCAGACCGAGGACGGGCGCACCTGGGCCCGAATCAGGTGGTTATTGAAAGCGAGGGGCCCGCGGCTGAGCGGGTTCCGAGCAGCGCGCACTCCTCCTTCCTGGCCTCTCACTTCAACCCCAGCCCCTCCGCCCCTTAACCCTCGGACCCAAGGGGGAGCCAGGGGCACCCCACACCCTGCCACCCTCCAGGTACCCCCGACTTCAGGGGACCTTTGAAGGGTCCAGGAGAGGCTCCTGGCCTAGCTCTCTCCACCCCACCCCCACCACGGCTGTCTCTTCCCCCTCCTTTTGTGTGGGGAACGGGAATAGCCACTACCCAAGGAAAAAAAGTATTTGTTTTCGTTTCGTTCATCTGAGGGAAGTTGACAGAAGGTCAGAAGTTCAAATGCTGCCAGCGCGCGCGGTGGCGAGAGTGGCCGGGCGTGGGGCGCTGGGTCCCGGGCCGGGTGCACGGGGCAGGGGACCTGGCTAGGGGCTCTGGGTGCGCGCGAAGGCCGGAGGGGCGGGGGTTCTCGATTGAGGCAGCCCGCAGAGCCTGCACAGCGCCCCGGGCCGCTCCCTCTGGGTAGTCACGGAGGTCGAGCACCACGGGTGGCTCCAGCGGGCTCGTGCGCAGCGCGTGGGGCGGTAGGGATGGCGGCGCCGCCCATCCCTGCGCGCTCTGAAACCGTAGCTGCGGCATCGATCAGTCCGGAGTAAGTGGAGCTGAAATGCGTCTGCCTGGCTGCCTGGCTCGCAGCTCTGCAGCAGGCGGCCAGCCCAGGGCCCTGGGAAGGGGCGCGGCGGGGACCCCTTCTCCGCAGTCGCCTTGCGCGAAGGGCGTACGCAGACCTGTTCGGCTGGGGGACCTCGGGTGTCCCCGTGCCCGGCACTTTCCCCCTCATCGCCTGCCTCCTCTTGGGTCCAAGGGACCCCGAGAAAGCTCCTCCTCTGCGGGGACCGAGGACGACAAGGGACCCTCCGGGGAGGGGGGCTGGCTGGAGAACTCCCTCCGGCCAGCTGCACGCGCCAGGCGCCCCTGGCCCGCGCAGAGTTAATCGTGGCTCGAGCTGCTGTCTGGCACAAGCCAGCGCGTCCACACTCGCGATCCAGATTTAAGGTGGTCGGAAGAGATGCGGAGGAGCGAGGGAGGACCCTCCTCGAGGCTCCTAGTCCTTGCCTCCTGCCAGCTCTGGCCTGCCACCTGGGTTCGGGTGTTCTAGGCCGGGACCTGGGGGTCGGCGCAGAGCGAGGCCGCCTCCCTCCCTCCCTTCCCGCGCCCTCCCGGCACTCGCCCCGCCAGCGCTGCGCGCACCTAGCCCTAAAGGTAGGACTTGAATATTTTAATAGGGCAATAAAAAGGATGTTGACCTATATTTGCAAGGAAACCCATTTCTAGCTTTATACGTGCATGAAGTTTCAGAAAGTCTAGAATTGGCTGGGAGATTGGCAGCCCAGAAGTCTCAAAGGAGGTGGAAAGGGTGAAAAGAATTCATGTTTTGCTTTGCTTCTTCCACCGCCACCTCCTCCAGTAATATTTATTCTCGCCCAATTCTTATGCAAGCTGGTTCAAAACTAAAGCAATTCGGTGCCAACAAGTTCTAAGTCCCTCCCCCGAGGTACCGCTTAGGGCTCTGGAGAACCCCAGAGCATCCTTAAAGAAATATTAATACGATCACACTCTGCTGGGCTCCATTGGGGCCGAGGGAGTCCAACGCCAGCTACATGGCTCAGTGGGGGACAGACTGGGCGCCACTGCAGCCCCTGCCTCTGGTCAGAACAGCCCCTGGCTTCTCCCAGGAGGATCCCTTGGTGCTGGTGGGCAAAGGGTGGGGGTCGCCCGGGCAAAGAAAACCACAGAGGCAAAGGGAAGTATGCCAGCTCTGCTTTCTAATGCTCAAGGGCCATGTCGGCACAGTGACCTGGACGCCACTTTGTGATTATGGGGACATCCCCACCCTCCCTCTCTATTTCTGCTGTTCACTTGGAAAGAACAGACACCCCCAAGGTGAAGGTCTCCCCAAGTTACAATTCCAGAGCACAGCAGGATAGGGGAGGCCGTTCCTGCAAGACTGAGCAGATCAGGGCCGTAATGGACCACATGCCCTGCTGCTAGCACCCGCCCATACCCTAAACTTCCCGGCTGGACCCTTAACCTCCACTCTCCTCCCGGAAGGGGAGAGGTGCTAGGTGGGTAGGCGGGTGGGGAAGGAGAGGGCGAAACCGCCTGCCTTCCTCTCTGCCCGAAGAACAAGCAGAGTGTAAGTCTGGGTGCTCATTCGCGGTGACCCCCGGGAAGGAACGCGTTCCACACCCCTCGTGGGTCTCCGCTACCTGAGTCATCAGCCGGTCGGCGCCGGTGTTCTCCTCATCCTTGAATATGATGTCGGGGTTGTAATTGGGCGTGAGCTCCTTAAATCGCTCCGAGCTCCTCGAGATCTTCCCTTCGTATCTGCCGCTGGCTCCTAGGGTCTTCTCCGCTACGTTGGGGATGAACTGCTTGTAGGCTAAAGGGCTCAGCTTTTTGGGGTGCCGCCTCTTCCCGAATCCCCTGCCGGGGCCGCACGCCAGCCCTGAGCACACGAGCAGCGAGGAGACGAGGACCAGCAGCAGACATCTCGCCGGCAGCAGCATCTCGCCCATGGAACCCGGTGACTTCCAAGCTGTCCCCGCGGTCTGTCTGCGCGCGAGCGGGTGCGCGCGGTGTGCGTGTGCGCTCTGCCCTGCGCTCGGCGGCTGCCTCGCTCCGGCTCGCTCACTCCCTCGCGCGCTGCTGGGTTCTTTCTCTTCCTATACAACCTTGCCCGCCGCCGCTGCGGTGGACTCTCCGCCGATCTCGGCCCAGACAGGGGCTGCGAGGGCAGGCTGCCGGTCGCTGATAGCGGAACACATCGGAGTTGGGTCGGGAGGCAGCAATCAAAAGACAAAAAGAGTCTGATTTTAAATGGTAGCCAGCCTGGAGAGCTTGTGAGACAGGCCTCCTCTCGCACTATATTATAGCTGGCAGGGGCGCATCTGATTGGCCACAGCCGCACAAGCTTGTCTTCTGATGTTAACCCTGAAGAAGGCTACACCCGCCCCCCCGTTACTGCTGTTGCTTTATTTTCACCTGAAACGAAAAAAAAAAAAAAGATCTTTCCGAAGATGAAGGTGGGTGGGAGGAGGCACGTTTCCTAGGATAACATCAATTACTGCCGGCTTTGTATACATCTTCTGTTTCCCCCTTTACTTTCTCTAGAATGGTAGGTGCTTCAGTTAAAACCAATATAAGTTTTTAAAGGACAGTCTAGACCCCCCCCACACACACACCAGCATCAACCATCAAAGAAATAGTCTCTCAAATGTTCGAGGGGCAAAGCTGCCCTGCTCTGATTTAGTCCCTACCCACCCTCAGACTGGATCCTGCAGGCTCGTATACCCAAGATGGGAAGAAAGAGAGCCTGGGGCTTCTTCGGAGTATACCTGGACAGAGGGTAATTAGGAGTGGCCACAACTTAAAGTATTGCTATTTGAACTACCTTAAGCACCATAGAAAAACTTGAAAATATTGACCCTTTATGTTGCAATGAACACATCATATTAGAACCTCTACAGAGGGGGTAGAAGGAAGCATGTAGAGGGCCCCAGGGTGGGTGCTGGCCAGGTGGGTCTGGGTGCTGCAGCCCAGCTCAGAGAAGGGGGCTGTAGGCTGGGGCTGGCTGGTGCCCAAGTGGTAGGTGGAGGCTGCTGTGCCTGGGGCAGCAAGGCTGCACACACACACACACACACACACACACACACTCAACACGCTCAACACACCACCCCCACGATCGATCAGAGCAAAGTGCAGGGCCGGGATGAGTTGCATGTGGGATTCAGGTTCCTTGCCACAGCCACAGCAGTGGGTGGGAGAGCAGAGAGTCAGTCGTACATGGGGCCCTGCAAGCCAGGTGCTGGGGCTGAAGCCTGGCAATCAGAGAGCAGGACCCTAGGAATGGGCACTGTCTCTAGAGAGCAGCAATATTTTAACCTCCAATATAGAAAAAAAATTTCAAAAAAAATCCTAATAACCCAGAAGAATTAAACCTGAAACTCTGTTTTTATGGAACATGCCCTCCCCGGTCCCAGCAGGATGAGGGTATCCCTGTGGGTTGCAGACCTGGCCCTGAGGAGGCCCCGGTCCTCCAGAGCTCCCTGGGGGCCAAATGGGAGCCCAGGGAACAGCCCCAGCCTAAAAGCCCAGCCTCAGACAATGGGACCTTCCCAGAGCACTTGCTTTTCGGGCACACTTGTCTTGATGGGGAGGAGAGGTGTGCCCTGGAGCCCTATTGCCCGGCACACTCCCAGTGGGGCTGACCTCTGCTCCCTCACCCACTCCTTCCTTATCAGGAGACTGCAGACCCTGGGGCTTCCCTCATTCCATTCAGGCCAGTGCCTGAGTGGAGAACCAGCATGGCCCTGAGCCTGGACAGCAGACCCCACTGGTTAGCCGACTTGACTTGGGTGATTCTGCCCGGTGCTCCGGGAACAACAGAGGCAACAATGACATTTTCCCCTATCTAGGAGGTGGGCCTGTTTGGCGTGGTCACCTGCACAGCTTGTGAATGTTACATCATGGGGTGATTCGGGGCCAGACAGGTGCTCTGGCCTCCTGGCATCCCTCCCTCTGCCTGGTCCCCCCACTCCCCCACTCCCCACACCTGGTTATTAAGGGCAGAGGGGCAGGACGTAATTCCATAGGACTCCACATGTGGACAGGCAGGGTGTGTTTCAGGTGCAAAGGCTGGAGCAGCACAGAGTTCCTCATGGGCACAGCTGGACTGGCACCCCCAGAATTAGCTCCCTGCCGGGGACAGGGGATGTGGCTCTGTCTTGGTGGCTTGGGCCACCAGGGAGGTTTATTCAAGCTTCCCCACTGGAGGGACAAAGGACACTGCCCCCTTCCTCTATCTCCAGCCAGCTCTGGATGCCCAGAGAGCCTGTCAAGACTAGGCATCTCAGGGACCGGGACTGGCTGGATTCTCAGAAGTGGAACAAGGATGCACAGGAGAGCTTACCTCAGGTGGCTTGCTCCTGTTATGGGGACCTTTCGACTATTGCCTTGAAAGCAGGGCCCTGGGCTGAGGCAGTGGGAGAAGCCGCAGCCTCTGCCCTCCTACCTATGGCTGTGTCCAGACAGCAGACACCGCTGCCTTCCACCTCCAGACACCAGATGGCTCCCTCTCTTTACCTTTCCCCTCAGACCTTGGGGGCCCCTCCCCAGGCCAGTGAGAGACTCCAAGCCCCGGGCACCCTCAGAACCCACTGCTGGTTTTCCTAGGCTCTACCCTTCTTCCCGTGGAGATTCGCCTCCTTCCCTTGCAGCATCCTCCGTGGCTCCTCCACCTTCCCCTCCACCTCCCACCCCTTATCTGTTCCCCCTAAATGCCTGCTGAGTACAGGTGCAGCGCTGGCTTCTGCCCCAGCCCCCCAGGAGGTGCCTCCCTAGGCCCTGCTCAGTCCCCTCCTTCCAGCCCCTGCCACTAGATGGCCTTCTCACCCTGCCTTGGGCTCAGACTGGGCCGGTTTGGGGAATTCCCACAGCCCCAGGTTGGAAGGACCCGGAAAAAGGACTGGCCATCCAACTCCCCTCCTCCAGCTCCAGCCCTATGGCCCTCCCCTCCATTCCTCTTCCTCTAAGAGATCTGCGCAGTCTCTTTCCAGCCGGGCATAGAATCTCGCCTTCGTTTTGAAAACTTACAGTTAAAAGTTGGCTTTCCACTGTCACACTTCTCTTTGCAGTTGCCAGCCTGGGTCCTCTCTGATCTTGAGAGGGAGCCTGGCCCCGCACTGTTGTCCTAAGCAGTGGCCCTTGCCCGGCCCTGTGGGTGGTGTCTCCAGCTCCCAGGAGAGCCATAGACACTGGATGCCAGGGAACCTAGGTGCCTGGCAGTCATGGCCCAGCCTAAGTGCACATAGGCGATCCCAGGCCACAGCACTGTCTGGTGCAGATACCGGTGGAGCCAGGGCCTGGCCGGTATGCACAGGACCTCCAGGGGCCAAGGCCTGAGAGGCCACGTGCTGATGGCTCCTGGAGTGGCATCTCTCAGCAGGCCGTGCCAGGGCGCTGTTGTCCCCGACCTGGTCTCCCTAATTCCCAGGGTTCGAGAGCTCGGGAAGGGGGAACTCCTATTCTGGGAAGCTGGCACTGGGCAGGAATGAGCCCCTCTGAGATCCCTGCTTCTCCGAACTGCGCCTCTGCCCTGGGGCCTTGCTAGTTGTTATCAGTCCTGTGTGGTTTCAGCAAGCAAGGGGGTTCAGGCTCAAATAACCCTCTGCTGTGTGGATCCTTGGTCTCATGGGTTGCAACGGCAGCTGTCACCTCCACTTGCCTGTGTGCACAGGGTACACAGGTAGCCTCGTGCCAGAGAAGGGGCAGAGCTGGACCGCAGCCCTTCCTCTTGATCCTGCTCTGCTCCTGTGCCACAGTTGTCCCTTCTATCTGTGGGCTACTTGGTATCCAGGGGACTCTGGGAAGTGTTTCATGACCCCATGCACATGAGTGCCACCAGTAGCTTTGGAAATAGAAGCCCATGACAGTGCCCAGGCCCCTGCCTACCTCTGTCCCCTTGCTCTGCTTACTTCTGGTTGGGGAACCCCAAGACCCAAAAAATGGGGGAGCAGAACTTTCTGGCTCCAGGTCTGCAGCTAGGCTCCCACCTCAGTGTGCTGTCTTGTCCTGCAGGAGGCGGTGGGGCCTGGGATCCCTTCTTCCCTGGCCGCCCTGATGCCAAGTCCAGTGGCTCTGGGTGGCAGAGGTCGATGGTGGGATGTGTATGTGAAGTTGTGTGTGCATGTGAGGGTGAGGCACAGGAGGGGTTTGCGGAGCTGCGGGGGCCTCTCCAGTGCATCTCTGGATGTGAGGTCACCATGGTGGGAGCTGCCTGGCTTTTACCCACCCTTGCCTGGGGAGGGACATTTTTACCTGTTGCCACTTTTGCCCCTGCTGGGAAGGCCCTTACTGGCCAACGGGTGGCTGTGACCTTACCACCTTGGACAGGCAGAGGAGTATTACATCATCTGGGGAGCCTTGGGCCACACATAAAAGGGGGTGGAGAGACTGGCCAGGTCCTCCCAAGAGCAGAATTAATATGGAGGCTCAGGCCTGGCTGTTCCTGGACCCAGCTTAGCTTTTGACCCCTGTCAGGCCCCTCACTGCAGCAGCTCCCAGGCTTCCCAGTATCCCCAGCATGGTACTGTGGAGGGCAGGGCTATGGCCTGGATGTAAGAGACAGCAGACCCCGCAGCCCTCCGTGAGTTCCCAGTGAGTCACTGCCCCCCTGCACACTGGTCTCCTTGCTTGTCTAAAGCCAGAAATCCCTGCCCCTCAGTTCCGGGAGTCTGGAACCTGTTCTCCAGGAAGCCCACAGTGCTCATACCCCTGCTTAGAGGGATAAACTGAATCTCAGGCACCTCCCTGCCTGCCATGGACACCAAAAAGCCACACAGTGCCCTCTTGCCCCTTGGTGCTGCTGCATCCACTCAGTGCTGCCCACTATGTTCAGGGGACCAGCCAGTAGCTGGCCTTGTCCCTAGCCAGCTGGACAGCAGCCTGGACAGAAGACCAGAGGCCACAGGGCTTGACCAGCCCCCTGGGCAGGAGCAGCTGCTCCCCAAATCTGAAGGACAGTGGACCCTCTCCCCATCCCTCTAAGGAACATTGTCCTTCTTTGCTTTCTTAAAAAGAGATAAGACACACATCCTCCTTAATGTGCAAAATTAGGAGCCATAAATGACAGGGGCATGGGTGGCTGAGGCCTGCTGTGGTGGGGAGATGGGGAGAGATAGGGTATGGATGTTTGGTTTTCCTTTGTATTTGGGGGTTGACCCCAGGGCCTTCCCACTGAGCTACATCCCCAGCCCTTTTTAGGTGGTGTGATTAAAAAATACAGTTAATGTTTAAATTTCTAAAATTTATTACAGTAAAAGACACATTGCCACGAATACCCCTCAGAATTCTGCTCCTTGCTTTGACCACACTTGGCCTACCGCCCTTGTCAGTTTCTTCACTGACTTGAGTCCT